CCAGAATACCATACCTAGCTCATCATCCACCTCTCCATCTCCTTTCATCCTCATAATCTTCGCGGGCCTCTCTCATTCTCTCTCCTCATCTCCCATGGCCGTCTCTCGGACCGTGAAGCCAAAATCATACGACAGCGATAGTTCATGTACTACCGCGACGCTGCACTTATTCAACTAAATTAACCAATGCTGAAAATTCCACTGAAATACAAATATTATGGTTAAATCACATATGTACTCTTACATATATATGTATATATACAACCAAACATATTCAGACATATACACATGATGCGCTACGTATTCTATTCATTGATTGACATGAAAATCAAGTCTTTTGAGTATGAAATGCACCGAAAAATGAAACGATCGAAACTACGAACGCAACAGAAACCGAAATTTAAGATGTAAACCTTTCAAATTGAGAGGGATTTGAACACGATGGACGCATGGGCTTCTCCAGTAAGAATATACCATCATCTTCTCCTTCATCCCTGTGCCCACCTTTCGGTAACGGAGACGCAAACGCAGAACGCTTGTTGTGATCGCTCCATAGATGACCGAACCTGCTGCTGCTGTTGTTCTCGCTCGTGTCGTGGAAAGCAAGAAGAGAGATAACGCAATATGAAGATACAAATATATCATGGGTCTATAATATATAGATTTTCTCTATAATAAAACATATAGTCGATTGCTACACACATATATATATATATATACATGTTGGAAGAAAAAAGTGATTTTTTTCCATCAATTGCTTTTTCCAGTGAGCTTATTCTTCCTCTTCTCGTCAAATTCCATGGCGGAGGCTTCTGCGTCGGTTCGGCTTTTTGGGTGTGTGACCACGATGAAGAAGCCATCGATGGGTTTATATAGACTATAACAAAACAAAAATACACCAAGGAAAAGTATTTAGAAAAAAATAAATAATTAATGTGGTTATTAAGGACTAATGAATACAGGTAATGGATACGACGTTGGAGTTGGGCACCATACGTTTTGGTTTATTTTTTAAATATTTTATTCATTAAATATAAGCATTTAAATTTTAAAGAAAAATTAAATTGCATTTAAATTTTAAAGAAAAATTAAATTTCTGTATATACTCCAAATATATTATTATAATATTATGTTGATTTTATTTTGTTATTTAATGAAATATGAAATTATAATTTTTAATTATAACAAAGGAAAATTGAACAAAATACCACCTAAGATATGAGATAGGGTAATGATATTTTCATTTTATTAGTGGACTAATTAATGATTTTCCCAACATTTATTTATATTTGTTTTTATTATTTAACTATAAGATTTTATCTTTTATTTATAAACCAATGAAAAGTCCCTCATTTTCCATTACGTTACCTTTAAAATATAAAGGTAGTTAACCCAAAAAAAAATGGAGATACATTTAACTCCACTCCTTTTACTATTTATTTCTTGTTTTATTACAACCATTATTGTATTATATGTAATGTATATATGCGTGTGTAGAGTAGACGTTTTTTTCCTATTCATTGATCAAATTTATGTAGCTAATAAATTATTAAATGATAAATAAAAATTAAAAATAAAATGACACATAGATGATGAGTTGGATCCTAGGTGTCCTCACCATATTCCTCCAAATCCAACTTTTATATATATAGATTCAATTTTGTTTTCTCAATTTTAATCTCACGAAATCTGTTGTCCGGGGTTTCTATATCCCCAGATACCCAAACCTAGAGAAGTTTTAAAAATTTTGTTGATTTTATTATATATCGGTAATTTTACATAAATAGATCTTATAATGATTGCAAATATATTAAAATAGGTAGGATATAGTCGCAATTTTACTCGTACACAAGTATCCGCGATGTTTGGAAAAATCTAAACCCACAATCCAAGTTCTTAACCACGGCACTCTCCAGTGGTTGTATCCCGTGTATATACGTGTTCAGGTAATCGAAAACTCGCGGGTCTCGGCTACCGTAGACGTCCGGATATTCACGCGCTAAGCGCGTGGATTTATTGGTTATAATATATATACATATGTTCCCTTGTATTGACAAAAACATCGATAATAGATGTAGTCGGGTCCTGTTTATCAAAAAAAAAAACATCGGTAATTAAAAAAAACAAAAGGTTAGGGCTTGGAAAGGTGCCTCTGTTATCGACTTTGAGCTCCAGGTCTAACCCTAACCCTAGAATTCAGCCATGTCGTCCAAGCAAGGTATGTTTCTCTCAGCTCTAAGACGGGGTCAGGAAAGATTTCCTGTATCGGTGAAAAAATCTAAACCTGGATACATCGTTCTGGTTCGAATCGTCCGGTTGATCTTATCGCTATTTGAATTCGAAGTTTTTGAAGCAATCGATTGATGTGTGCGTTGTTTCGAAATCAATCTTTTGAATTCATTGGTTGATCTTGTTTGCTCTGGGTAACTCTTTGAGCCGGACCTTACGTTTTAACTCTGGTTTGGTGTAAGACAAGAAGTTCGAGAGCTTTGCCTGATCTGCTGTTTGTGCCTGAACGAATCCATGTCTCTTTGGTTTTTGTAGGAGGAAAATTGAAACCCTTGAAGCAACCCAAGGGGGGGAAGAAAGAGTACGATGAGGTAAGATCTCTGTTTCAACTCTTTGATTAGGATTTATTGATTTTTTTTGCTGGTTTAGTCTTGTTAAATTTATGTAACTTGGAGTCTATACAACCTTATGTAGTTCGGTCGGTGAGATAATTGAAACTATTGTGAAGTATGAAACTTTAGTCCTACTTCCAATTGAAACTATGTTTGTTGTGTTGAGTCTCCTGCTGAAATTGTTGCATTGTGCACCCTGCTTGGTTTTTCTTTGGACGTTTTTATTGATCGATATGATGATGGTGATGATAATAATGATATCTGGTTTATGCAGCATGATCTAGAGAACCTCCAGAAGAAGAAGGAAGAAGAGAAGGTAAGATTTGGTTTGACTTATAATTGAAAAAAAATCGTAAGAGGAGAGAGTGGTTTAATGTTGATTACGGTGTGATGGTGATGAGAGCAGGCGCTTAAAGAGCTGAGGGCCAAGGCGCAAAAGGGTGCAATCGGAGGAGCTGGGCTTAAGAAGAGTGGAAAGAAGTAAGAATAAACCATGTTCCTCTTTCTTAGGAAAACCGCTTTATCCGCTCCCCAAGTTATGCCATCTATCTCTCGATCTATCTATATAGATTATATATCCTTTGTTGGACATGTAATACCTTACAATTTCGATCTATTGTTCTCGAAATGGGAATGAATCTGACATCGTTGAAACAAATTCAAATACTTTAGCAGTTTATGAGACTAAACTTAAGGTCAGTTGCGGGTTGTTCAGTTACTGCAATCCAAAATGTACCGTTTTAAAGTATTGTTCTTCAGTGAGAGATTGACTGAGGCAGACTTACACTTTTGCAGGTTGACTTAACATCTTATGTTGAAAAGCATCAATTCGTTTTTGATTCCGTGCTAAATGAGGAGGTCTCAAGGGGGGGGGGATATGATGCTTTCACGCATTTGTTCATGTTCTTGGTATTCATAATCCTCCTCCTCCCGCCACGAGCTGCACCACCTGAATCCATAGGTGTCTAAAGACAGAGGTCCGAACATGGCAGAAGCCGAGTCGGTGACTCTCTGTGGAAGAATTCATGGCTATGATGGTATGTTGATTCTCGATTCTTTCTAGGATTGGGCACTTAAACTAGGGGTGACCCATCCAAATACGTAATAGTTGAACCCAATAAAAGATTTTGATTTTGTAAATGTGCAAGTTGAACGGTCATTATTCTGAAGTTTTTTTAGGGTATTAATCATTCTTCTAAAATTGCTACTAATCAAATAGGCACTGACTGATAATTACAATTTGTTTTCAAAGTTTTTCGAGAGTATTAGATGACACATTCTGTTGGGTTCCATCGTCTGCAAGGAGCCAACGTTGTAACATCTATGTCGGATTTCTTCACTCTCCTGACACGTCATCCAATAACAGCCGTGCGATAGCAGACACGTGGACAAACAGAGGGCCCATTATGTGGGAGTGACATCATCACGGACGATACTGCGTCATATTGGTGCACCCTCCTTCTCACGTGCTTAACGTTGCTTCAAAACTCAACGTGCATTCCATTTTTTTCAAACATATAATATTTAAATACGCAAAATAAATAAAATAGAATAAATATAAAGTTTGACGAACACATTTATAATTTCTAAATTATTTGAATTTTGTTTTTTAAACTTTCAAAATTAAAGGAGGAACCTTCTCTTCTCTCTAATCCCTCACTACGTGTAGGGGTTTAAGGGAGCGTAAGAGAGAGAGGCAGAGAGAAACTTAGTGCTTTAATTTGAACTTGTGGAGAGAGACAGAGAGAGAGAGAGAGAGAGAGAGAGAGTAGACCGGTTGTGGCTGAAGATCCGATTAGGGTACGATTTGGAGCCCCAATTCGAGCTAGAGGAGTGGCTTGGGATCGGCATTTTGGTGGAAGAGATGAACGGGATGCAGAGATCTGGGGCGGCGGTTCACCACCACAGGCAGCTCTCCAACAACTTCCTCGATGGTGCCTCCTCCAATGGCCGATGGCTTCAGTCCACCGGTCTCCAGCACTTGCAGTCTTCGTCTGGAAATGTAATTCCTTTTTCCCTTATTTCTTTATCTGTTTCGCTCGAGATATAGTGCGATGAACTTGTTTTCGTTCTGGGTTTTTGCTGTTGGTTCTGGAGCAGGATGTTGAATTTCGTTTGCATTTGCTCAATGAGGGTTGTCGGGGCCAATTTGAAACTTTTATCTACCTAGATGTCGTTCAATTGAAAAATTTAAGATGTCTGTTATTGAAGTTCATTTGATTTTTCAAAACTAATGGTAGGATCTGAAAACAGGATTATGGATACTATGGCGGTCACCAAGCAACAAGAGGATACAGTAACGGCCAGAGGGGGTTTAATGGTGGGAATGAGTTCTATGGGGAACCCACTACCCCTCAGTATAGTTCACGGCCATCAAGCCAGAGAAAGAACACAGATGAATCTGAGTTTAGTCCAGGGCTCTTAGATCTCCATTCTTTTGATACTGAGCTTCTTCCCGAGGTGGGTGGTCTTAAAATTTCCTTTAAGAGTTACACATATACTTCCTGGTTTGATGTTATTTGAATGTTGGTATGGAATCTGTAAATTCTAGAACAGTTTTTAATCTCCAGAAGCCACATTTTTTCCCGTTGATTGAACCAATCTGGCAAGGGGAAAACGAAAGATAAAGAATAATATACCATAATGGATATATATGATCGTTTATCTGTTTACAGTGTCATGGTTTAAAAAGTAGAAGAAATTTGCTGAAATGTGCCAAAAATATCTTTGAAACATGTCTTTATGAGCAGATTCCTGTCTCTAGCCAATTAGATGGTCCCTCCATTTTCAATCCCAATCGAGGCTGTTGCTTTGATGACTCTGAAAACTACAACAGACAGCCTGGCAGGAGCAGTGGGTTGGCAGAAAATTTTGCTGTCGAGAAAGAAAGGATGAATTCTGTTGCAAAGATTAAAGTTGTTGTATGTTTTCTTCCCCTTCCTTTTCTTTCTGTACATTGTGCTCTTGTAAGAAATTGCTTGGTTTTCCTCCCTGAATGAAGTGATTTCTGTGCCCAGTAAATATGAAGGCATTATCTATATATTGTCCGTGACACAATGTCCCTTGATTGGTTGAGAGCAGGTACGTAAGAGGCCACTTAACAAAAAGGAATCAGTGAAGAATGAGGAAGACATCGTTGAAACAAATTCAAATACTTTAGCAGTTTATGAGACTAAACTTAAGGTCAGTTGCGGGTTGTTCAGTTACTGCAATCCAAAATGTACCGTTTTAAAGTATTGTTCTTCAGTGAGAGATTGACTGAGGCAGACTTACACTTTTGCAGGTTGACTTAACATCTTATGTTGAAAAGCATCAATTCGTTTTTGATTCCGTGCTAAATGAGGAGGTCTCAAATGATGAGGTGAGTCTACTGCTGAAAGGCAATTCAACTCTACGGAAAGATTTTAAATGTAAATGGTAATTATGAACCTTAACGTACATTTGTGTGATGATTGTTTCTCAGATTATATGCCACTTTCTGTAGGTTTATCATGAGACTGTTGAGCCTATAGTCCCTCTCATTTTTCAGCATACCAAAGCCACGTGCTTTGCATATGGGCAGACGGGTAGGTCTTTATCTTGAAAGCCATGAATCAACAAGGCTACTTTCTGGAAGTTCTGAATAGGAAGCCGATATCCACACCTCTAATCCTACCATCTATAAATATTTGACTTGAATTCCTATTCCCGTAACATAGTTACTTATGATTTTATATACTCAATCTTTTTGCTTCCATGTTGTCTCTACCTTCATGTTTAAGAAAGAAATTGTATGATTGTGATTATTAATCTATTGTAGACCAGAAACGAGGAACGTCACCGTGGCATTAAGTCATGTGCCCATTTTCGCTACCCAGGAAGTTGTGTTTTCAGCTAGCATGATCTGGACTTTGTTATATGCTGTAAAGATCTGGGGAGAATGATTCGTATAACACCTGAACCCTCCTTGTTTTATTTTGCTTTCCAGGTAGTGGTAAAACCTATACTATGAAACCGTTACCTCTTAAAGCTTCAAGGGACATACTAAGGTTAATGCACCACACATACAGGAACCAAGGGTTACAGTTGTTTGTCAGCTTCTTTGAGATATATGGTGGAAAGTTATTTGATCTCCTTAGCGACAGGAAGTACGTTACAAAATCTTCCATTTTGTTTTGTTATCCTCACTGCAATGCCTATATACACAGCTGAGTATCAATCTCTCCATATCTGTAGGAAGCTGTGCATGAGAGAGGATGGCAAACAGCAAGTTTGCATTGTGGGTTTGCAAGAGTACAGAGTGTCAGATACAGAGACGATTAAGGATCTTATTGAGAAAGGAAGTGCGACAAGAAGTACCGGTACAACTGGTGCAAATGAGGAATCATCTCGTTCACATGCTATACTTCAGCTTGCCATAAAAAAACCAGTAGAGGGAAGCCAGTCAAAGCCTCCTCGTCTTGTTGGCAAGCTTTCCTTTATTGATCTAGCTGGAAGTGAACGTGGTGCAGATACAACTGACAATGACAAGCAAACTAGGTAGAACTTCTGCAATCTCTCATTTGGTACCTGATAATCCAGTAATGGTGTATGCTCTCTATTCTTTACACAGAAGTTGATGCGTATCAATACTTGTTTTGGACTAGTTGATAAGTTATTGGTGTTCTTATCATATGATGCAGATTGGAAGGAGCAGAGATTAATAAGAGCTTACTTGCCTTAAAGGAGTGCATCAGAGCTCTAGATAACGATCAAAATCACATCCCTTTTAGAGGCAGCAAGTTAACTGAGGTTCTTAGGGACTCGTTCATGGGAAATTCACGCACTGTCATGATATCTTGCATATCTCCGAGCTCTGGATCGTGTGAGCACACCCTTAACACCTTGAGATACGCTGACAGGTTTGTTAACCATTATAGTTGTTTCTCTATTTCTCATAAAGTTCGAGTAATCTGTAAAAACTGCATCGCAGGGTGAAGAGTCTCTCGAAAGGAAATAACTCGAAGAAGGACGTATCTTCTTCAACCATAAACCTAAGGGAGTCAACAAACGTCCCCCTGGATTTGGCACTTCCTACCCCATCTAACTTTGACGATGATGTGAATGACACATGGGCTGATGAAAATGACGATTTTGATGCATCGGATTACGAGCAAGAGAAACAAATGTTTAAGAAAAACGGGAAGCTGGATCCATACTATAACGGTCCGACACAGGACAGAATGCAGAAACCTAACATTCAGATGAAGTTCAGGGACATGCCAAAACCTGATATGAAGAAGACCCCCGACGATGATCTAAATGCACTTCTGCAGGTGATAGTCAATACAAGTGTCTTCCTTCAATATCTATACTGAGAACTATATGCCCATGAAACCTGCCTCGTGCGCTTCCGCAGGAAGAAGAAGAGCTTGTGAATGCACACCGTAAACAAGTCGAAGAGACCATGAATATAGTGAAGGAGGTAATGATAAGTCTCTTCTTGTCAACCTTTTGTCGGTATATATATAATTTGAATGACATTTGCAGGAGATGAACTTGCTGGTTGAGGCAGACCAACCAGGGAACCAGCTGGATGGCTACGTTTCGAGACTGAACGCCATTCTCTCTCAGAAGGCGGCTGGTATTCTCCAACTACAGAACCGTCTCTCCCATTTCCAGAAACGCCTCAGGGAGCACAATGTGCTGGTCTCTACTGCTAACTAATGGTGTCCGAAATCCCTGGTTCGGCTGTCTCGAGAAAAAAGGGTTTAGGTTTGGATGGTTTGGCTACTGGTTGGAGTGACCTCTCACCGGTCTTTCCTATCCATTGATCTGTTTTCCCCTTGTGAGAACCTACAGAAAAGTATCAAAGAAGGGGAATTTCTTATGTAAAGGTATGCTATGGCTCTGCATTTCTGATTTCTTATGAAGAACAGTGTGATATACTTCTGTGTACTTGATCGTGTTTATGAGTGAGCTGTGTCAGAGTCTTCAATGGCATCTTTTTTTTTTGATAACACTGGGGAACCCTATCCTACAACCCTTCGGACCGGATTTTCATCGCGGATCTGAAAAAACCCCAAGCCCACGCACACGTAGGAAGTGAGACGATGAGGGATCGAACCCCCCACCTCGTGGGCGCCTCCTCATGCTTCCAACCACGTGACCTGGGGTTTTCCCATCTTCAATGGCATCGTATACCATGCTTTCTGGTGTTTTGTCTCAAAATTGATCGCAATCGGATACAAATACCATCAGAAACTATCAGATTTCTGATTAAATGCATCGATTCTGGATTCCAAATTTCATTTTTTTTATGTAAATGCATAAAAATTATCATCTTTGCTTCTCTGACGAGAATAGTAACGAAGTGCCTCACTCCACGTTGAGGGCATTCTCTATATCCGTATCGTATTATCAACTTTTTAATTGGATTTGTTTTTGACAAATTTATGAATTTTGATGTGATTTTTTCATAAATAAAATATTCATTTTATAAAAAAGGGAAAAATGATATTAAATTAGTCATGATCTTTTCGTATCCGTATTTTTTAATTTTAAAATTTTCAAATATCTATACAAATTATTAAAATTAATTTATTATCCTTAAAAAAAAATTATTTCCATTCTCTCTGTTAGATTAGTATATAAGCACAGTATAGATTTTCCACGTGCTATGGTGGGCTATGTTATTCGGCCCATGCGACTCTTTTCAAGTTTCAACCCTAGAAACGAAACCCTACCTTCTCTCACATACTGAGATTCAGCTTCTTCATTTAAACGCCGGAATCTAGGGTTTTTTCTTTCTTGCGTCGGCTGCAATGGTTGGTGATCTCTCCTTCTCTTCCTCGATCTTAGCTTCTTTGGATCGATTGAATTTCTCATCTGAATTTCAATGTCTGTGACGCGGGGAATTGGGGATGTCAGGGTAAAGGAACGGGAAGCTTTGGAAAGAGGAGGAACAAGACTCACACTCTCTGTGTGAGGTGTGGACGCCGCAGCTTTCACATTCAGAAGAGCCGCTGCTCTGCTTGCGCCTTCCCCGCCGCTCGCAAGAGGACGTGTACGTCTCTCTCTCTCTCTCTCTCTATCTCTCTGTCTCTGTCTCTGTCCATGTGCGTGTCTGTGTATGAAAATCCTGGTTCAGTTGCTAAATGACATCTGTGTAGTGATTTGGTCGATTCTCTCTCAGATGTGCTTTTCCTTGGGGAGAAATGAAGCAATCTCATTGATTGCGCTTGTGTTTATTAGTTTAAGCTCGATTGCACGACCTAAGTCTCATCTCTTCAGAGATCCGGCCAAAGTTGGAGTTTTTCCGACAATTATCTTCTAGCTTCTATTGCAGTAATGTCACTTAGTGTGTAAAGTTATGTGCAGTAAGATATATGGGTATGGTTTTTTTTTCTGCAGACAACTGGAGTGTGAAGGCCATCAGGAGGAAGACGACTGGCACAGGAAGAATGAGGTATCTCCGCCATGTTCCTCGCAGGTTCAAGACCGGTTTCAGAGAAGGTACTTCGATTGTTACATGATGATAATCTTGTCAAGTTTTCTCCTCGTTACACAAGGGCTTATGCTCCTCTTACATTTGTATTGTTCTTAGGCACTGAAGCCAAGCCAAGGAACAAGTCAGCAACCTCATCGGCCTAAGCCATTGAAGTATCTTTTTATGTTTTTTTTGTCCACTTCAAAGCTTTTGGACATGGATGGAATTACTACTACCTTTAGAAGGCCTTCTGTACGTTTGTGTTTTGCCAAAAAAACAAAGATTTCTTCTCCTGTCGGGTTCATCCCATGTGGCTTAATCACCTGCAGATTGGAAATTTGGCATCTTCAGGTAAAGTCAATAGAAATCTTTCTACAGGGATCTGTCATAAGTTGCCCGGTTTATGAATTTGAGATTATTTGCTTCAAGTCTTGATACATGTTCTTAGTTTTAATGTAAATATGTTGTGGTAGATGTAGGTCTGGACCGAGTCGTACCAATTCGTTTTACACCCTTACTCTTAATTAGGGATGTCAAAACGAGCCGAGTTCACGAGCCAGCTCGCGATTGGCTCCTTTTTTTACCGAGTCGAGCCAAGAATATCTGAACCCAAATAAAAATGGGCTGAGTGAGCTAGCTCGCCACGAGCTGAACCCAAACGAGCTAGTTCGATTGGCTTGCGAGCTGGCTCGGGAGTTGGAGTGAAAAAAAAAAAATTTTTACGTTGAAACTTGAAAGTGTTGATATTGTTTGGTATGATATTTTGATTTGGAAATAATTTTTTTATACATGGATTAAGATCTGAAGATGGTTTTTTGTACATGAATTAGGATCTGATTGTATATGGATGGATTAGGATCCGAAAATAATTTGATGTATTGTTATATTGTTTTTATATTGATGTATCATTTGGATATGTTTTTGTATAATTTGATATGGTTTTTTAGGTATTAAAAAAATATAAGTCGCTCGTGAGCTAAGCGACTTGGACTGAGTCAGGAATTTTCTTATCCAAATAAAAACGGGTTTAACAAACTGAGCTGAAAATGAGCTGGCTCGAAATGCGGTTGTCCGATCGGATCCGATTCGACTCGTTTGACATCCCTAGTCTTAATCACTACTCTCTTAAAAAGTTTAGTTTAAAAAAAAACGAAATGGATTCCAAACCGCAAAATCCCAAACTTTTAATTTGTCAATTTTTACAGATTTTGCATTTTTTTTTCTAACCTCGTTTAGTATTTACTAAAACAATTCAAAGTTTCGAGGGAAGGACCGGATTGTTTTGTTGTTTGAAATGTTGAAGCTATTTAATATTTTATCAACTAATTTTCTTGATTTTATAAGTTGAATGGAATTATGTAAGGAAAAAATAAATTACGCTATTGTAATTTTCTGACATGTTGAATATTCTTTACACGTTTCGAACGTACAAAACGTTATATTTCAATATATAATCTAGAGTCTTTCATTGCGTGCTTAACTGCTTATCCTTCACTAAATCCATTATTAATTGGGTTCAATGGTAATATCGAAAATGTTGACAATCTTAATCGATTCAATCGGTTCTAGAGCCGTGCAACTCCATCAAATTGGATGACAAGGATTACACGCATAAATTGAGAAAATAGTTTTTGATATAAAAAAATTTAACATTATTTCTAACAGTTATCATTTATCTCAACTAAAATTATTTTTTTAAAAAAAAGGACCAAGGAGAAAACGATTTAAACGGCTTTCACAAGTATAGTTTTTAAAAAAATAACTTTCTGATTTATATATATATATATACATATATATGTTCTGTATCTCGTTAGCAAAAGCAGAGTGGAGATGGAAAAGGGAGATAAAGCCATCCGAACAGCGAGGAAGTATCTACGAGACGCAGCACAAGGAAGAGGAGCGAGCCACGTAGAGAGCATCTTCCTGCATGGCCTGGAACTCGTCCATGTCGGACGAGGAATCGTTCTCTGTCACCTCCGCATCACTGACCGCGTCTTGGTAAAAGAACAAATTTTATTTTCTTTTTTGAATTTTCACAATCTTTTTTCTTTTATTCGATATTCATCATATATATATATGTGTTTGTGTGGTTGTCAGGACGGAGAGGGAAACTGGAGTGTCGGAGCAATCGCGGCGATGATAGACACGATCGGTCCCGTCACTACGTTCACCTACGACGACGGCAGACCCCACGCCACCGTTGATTGCAACTCTTCCTTCCTTTCGACGGCCAAGATTCATGTTTGACTTCCTTCTCTTCTCCTCCTCTCTCTCTCTCTCTCTCTCTATATATATATATATATATATATATACACTCGCTCATATTTCGGATCGTATTTTTTAATTCTATGGGTACGTAGATGTCGAAAACGTAGATATCGAACCTATTCGTTACATCTCAATTTTATGATGTGCGATTATTAATGGAATTAGGAACGGGTTTTAGAAAAAAGTCTTTGACAAAAATAAAAATGATTGGGGACCTTGGGCGTGATTGGGGGATAATACAATATTTTATCTCATTTTTTTTTAATTTTCGGTAGAAATAAAGCACTTTAATAAAAGTTTGATTTGGAGTACTATCTTATCACATTTTTATAATTTTAATATCGTATTCTTTTTTTTTATAAAATCGTTGTTCTTTTATTTTATGAGCAAAATTGGGGGAAAAGAACTAAGATTCTATATAAAGGTCATGTCTATTTATTATCACAACTTTTGGTTTAGTTTGTTGATTTATTCGAATATGGTGAATATTTTTTAGTAACGGTGACATTATTCAACACTTTATTAATTATTTTTTAAAAAACATAAAAAAAAATGGGAAACTCTAAAACGCAGGAAGAAGTAGAGATAGAAGGGAAAGTGGTAGGGAGGAATGGAGAATTGAAATCAGCCAAAGTCGAAATTCGAAGAAGAGGCAATGGGGATTTGATGGCTACGGGGAGACTTTGGATGGCTCCCTTAAACATCAACCTCACAAGCAAAGCTTCTGAGTTTCTCAGCAAGCTTTGATCTTTATATTTACCCATTTCATATCTCTATTATCGATATATACATATATATATATATACACACGTAACCTTATGAACATGAACTATATTTACAGAAGATACTGCTTCCAAATATGTGTTTGCAAATTCGACGAGCCCTCGTTATAATCAATGGATCTTGATTGGAACAAGAATCGTTGTGGCCGCCCGTGCTATCGTCTTGTTTATACCCTTATCGGTTTCCATTGAATTGCAAGTTTGGTAATTTTTAGGAGTTTTTCCCTAGCAATTTTCGAAAGGTTACAAACAAGAAAATGGTTAAGTCAAGTGGATTGGTTTGGTGGTTGGGTAGCACGAAGTGCTTCCAATCAGCCCATGTTCAAAACCCATTAGACCAAAATATTAAAAAAAAAAAACAAGAAAATGGTCGATATTGATCACGTGATGTCTATCTTTTTTTTTCGTACGATGCAATCGTTGTCTAATCTTCACGATTGTAAAGTCTCTTTCTCTCGTATTCCTCGGAAAAAATCATGCTTTTATATACGGATGTTATTTGATCCATATATATATACGTTTCTCTCCATAAAGCCCACATGCGTTTGTCTTCGACAGATGGATGCTATACTCGAGATCGAGATCTATACATATATATATATATATATATATATAGAGAGAGAGAGAGAGAGAGGGAGGGAGAGATGGAGAAGACAGCAGTGGAGAAAGCGGTGTCGGCATTGGAGGATGTAAGCAAAGGTTTGGGAGGTTACGAGATGTATTCCATAAATCTTGAGGGCATCGAAGTCGTCCATGCAGAGACTGGTCTCCTACGTTGTCTTTTAGCCGTCCCCATCTCTACCTGCGTTTGTCTCCCTCTGTTCTTTTTTTTTTTTTTGCTTCGTTTATGAGATTGAATAATATGGTCAATTTGTAATGAAATTTTTGTAACCAAAGAATCTAAATCTGATTTTTGTATATTGTTTCGTAATGGGCCGAATCAAGGATGGGGATGGGAAATGGCATGTAGGAGCCATGACGACAGCCATGGAAGTAGTTGGCTCCGTTGCAGTGCTCACGCTTGGTTCACAGTATTGCAAAACCTTGGAACTTACCATTTCTTACTACTCCTCGGCTAAATCCCAGGTCCAAACCTGAGTTTATCGATCGATCACATGATCTAAAAATCGATTGGATTTAAATTATTTCACTATAATCCGTTAGAACAACCGAGTTTTTGTTATAAAAATAAAACGTACATATAGGAGATGTGGTCATATCTATCATTTACTAGAGCAATTACGGCCTATAGATACGATGAGAACATTTTTTTTATCATCCTAACAACAAACTCGTAATCATAAAACCCGTGATTGAATACGTAAATCTCGTATTTTTCGTTCTTTGCTTAAATTTCTTGTTGACAATGTGAATATACTTTGATGGCAGGAAAGAGTTGAGATCGAAGCAAAGATTGTCGGGACAAACGGAAATCTAAGATCGGTTGAGGTTAAGACGACGAGACATGGGACTCATGAACTCATTGCTTTGGCTAAATTATGGTCTCTACCCGCCGGTCTTGTTCCTTCACCAAGCAAGCTTTAGGACTTGTCACCATTTCCTCTTGTGTTACTATCAAATGAAGGATATATATGTAACATCATTTATTCAGTTCACATTGAAAAAGAAATTATATGGGTCTAACCAGTTGTATACTATAAAAACTGTATAAAAACATGAACCGTGTATCAAGTTTATGAATATTCCCACATGAAATTTCGGAACTAGTCTTGTTTAAACTACCCATAATGGGGTACGTTTAGGTTAGGTATTCGAGATTTTGAATTATCTGAATCTAATAGAACAAAACACTCGTCATCAACTCACAGTTCAGTCCAATCCCTAAGACCCGGGCTTCGAAATTTGAGCGTAAACCATCTGCGTATAGCCATTGAAAACCGACACATCGAGCCTACCTAAACCAAGCCGTTGGAATAAACGATATCGACCATCTTCTACGATAGGAGGAGTGACACGAGCCGGGTCGTACCGGGATTGATGGGTCAAGGAAGGTCCAGCCACGGGGGGCAACTCCCAGTACACATCGAGAATCGATTCAGCGAACCTGCTGTTCTGGAAGTGTTGTCCGTGCGAGATGGGTGTGTTGCTATGGTTGAAGTTGTCCCTCATTTCTCCCCTGACTCCCCACCATGCTTCCCCTGTTCCACATAGCTCCTTTATGTCTACCGCTTTTTCCCAGAATTTCTTCCTCTTCGCTCTGATTCTGGCTTCATCGCTGTCTTTGAAGCAGCTGTGGCCACCTCCTGTACCATAAAAGAATAAGTTCAAGCCATGTTTCAAACATTTGAAGATACTAAGAAATTGAACCCACCTCACCTCTTATGTATGACTGGTCACATATCTGTCTCAGCGAATAGTGATCCCCTGTTCCAGTATCATAGTTATCCTCAAAAACCAGATGTCTGAAACCTGCCTTCAGTGCCTGCTTCAATCTGTTCTCCATTGTATATGCAGAAGAAAATAGGATAAGAAGGCTCTCTTTATATCATACAAGTCTCGAGTGACAACAATCTGAGATTACCTTTTCAGTTCATTCTGATGATCATCGAAAAACACGAGAACCCGACTGATGTCCGTTACCCCATGTTTTTTCAACACGTTTTTCCAGGCAACACTTCCGAAATCAACGAAATCCTTTCCTGCAAAGTATGTGCAGTTTCCATCCACATAAGCAGGCCCCTTTCTCAGGTACTTCTCGGGGTGCCTGGGTGAGAGTGAAATAATTGGTGTATCTGGCATGGCTTGCCGCAGAACCCAAGTTGAATGTCCCTTGAAAGCACCACTCTCAATCATCAAATCTGGTTTCAGCCATCTGGCCATGAACCAAAGACCGAAGCTGTGGTCGAAACCCATCCCATACATGTTGTTCTGTATCGGCCGCGTTTCATATATCGGCACAAACTCTTCTAGACCCTTCAGTAAATCCTTTGATGTCCACTCAACTTCTTTTCCATGTTTCGATCTGCCTTTTGCCAAGGAAAACAATTAAATAGGTCCATATACTATAAACATTACATTCAGGCATACCGTCCAAAAACCAAAAAAGACCCAGAAATCTCCCTGAAAATTGATAAACCAAGAAGAACGAAAAACAGAAATCTTGCAAACGAAATCCAAAAGCAAAGCACTACATGTACTGCAAACAATAGGCTCAAAAGTCCAAATCAACTTCCTTCTGAGTTCTGACTGGCGACTATGTAAAATATGCGTCCATCTTCTCTCCTAATTTCAGTAAGAAAGCAACAGTGAAAAAATGCTGATCCGTTCAAGCTCGACATTGCAACCACCACTGTCCAAAGATTGACAACAAATAGCCAACTACTTGAAGGGCGCAGTGCAATAGGATACTACAACACCAAATATAATTCACATTCTTTCTAACTGTTGATTCGTCATCCAGCACAGTGGGCATATCAACTCATCTGAAGGAATTACAGAGGGCATAATTACGCATAATCGTGACGAATTCAACAAGATAAAGATTAATAGCACAAGGTTGCATTGGCAATGTGACTTGAAACTCGAAAAGATTCGGAAAATTCCCAGATCAAGTGTAGTTCACATCATGAGCATTTACGAACAAATCATACCCAGAAGGAATCACTACGTCACTACAAGATTTCATTCGACAAATACCGCGCACAAACCCACGCAAGAGATCGAAGACAAAATGGATCAAAAGCTCAACGATAGAGATATAAGATGCTTACACCAAGGAACACCTAGGGCTCCGAAGTCCGATTCGAGCCCGTCAATACCTAAGAACCCGACCCGAGCGACCGGATCGAAGCGGGAGATGCAGACGAAGCTGTGAGAATGGAAGGCCAAGGAGGTGAGGCAGAGAAGGATGAAGAGGAGGAGGCAGAGGATAAGGCAAGGCCACCATTGATGGCCGATCCGAGAGAGGAGATTGGAGGCGAGGAGATAGATGTGGGGGCGCTTAATCTTGGACTCGTCGGCGGAGACGTCCGCGTCAATGGTGGAGTCACCGGAGGTGGTGGCATCGGCGTCAGAGTGCGGCGGAGGAAAGCGACGGGAGGAAAGGGGGCGATCGATCATCGTGGTTGGGGTCTTCGGGGACTGCGAGTGCCAGAGTGACTCGAGTAGTGTTGTTCATCCCTCCAATTTTTATTTTCACCTAATCTTTTTTATTATTACATTAATCTCTCTCTCTCGTTATTTGCATTTTGTTTTCTCTCCAAATTCAATTTTGTCAGTAACGATTTTTTAATAAGTTCCAAATACAATTCCGTATAAAAGATAATTAATTACATTTAAACCTCTATTTTACTAATATAAAACAAACCCTAAAGTTTGAATCATATTAATAGCCATAACGTATTTAATAAAACTAAAACAACCATTACGTTTTGAAAAACTAAATATATCAATTATTTAGAAATTTTCAAATGACACCAACTTTTCAAAATATTTTAAATTCATGACACTGTTGTTAAAATTTGACGAGATTTAATGATGGAGCGCTGATTTGATATTTGTTATCACGTCATATTGACGCATTATTAAAAAACAAATATATATAACCAAACCCTTCATCCATACATATACATAGATACTTTAATCTCTTAATTTTTTTTATGAAATATTTACAAAAACTTAAAAATTTGTGATAATTTCGAAAACAGAAAATAAGCAGAGTGCATTGAAATGTATTCGTATTCATACATAATACATACCTGAAGCAAAAGATGTACATTGCGACCTTTATTCATTTCCTCAAGTTAAAGAATACAATGGCAAAGAGAAAATCCCATCTCCTAAAGCATCCCTAGATTTCACTCCGGAACCGGTTTATATATAATTTTTCTTAAACCGAATCAAACCAAAACCAAAACCCGAAATATCCATTCTTAATATTACAAAATCCGGCTGCTTTCACAACATACCCGGAAATGTTCATCAGTGAAAGCACAACATGATGAATCTCGGCTCGAGGCTGGCTTTCAGGTGGCCGAATGCGATGATTCCTTGAGTCGTTCCGATGCCCATTTTCCTAACCTAGAAAACCCGTATTCTAGGGAAGCATCGGAAATCTTTTCCAACATTTGTAAGGTTGGATCGAAAGGCATCACCCTAAGAAAATCCTCAAGCTCATCCATGCATCCATACTTACAGTAGAGCTCGACCATGTAATGGTAATGCTCCACCTGAGGTATTACATGATATCTAGAGCTCATTGAATTGAAATAGTGTCGGCCCATTTCTACATGGCCCTCGTGTATGCATGCTCGCAATATACCTTGAATGGTGACATTGTCTGGTTTGATTCCTTCATCTTCCATCATCATGATCAACTCAACCACCTCTCTGCTTCTGCCATTATGAATACATCCAAGGATCATAGTATTCCATAGAACCAAATCCCGGAAATTTGCCTCTTTGAATACCCGGAGGGCATAGTCGAGGCATCGGCATTTGGAGTACATGTCAACCATAGCCCCGGCTACCACAGTGTCTATATCGTATCCGTTCCTAATCAAGAACCCGTGTATTCCTTTACCTAGTTTCGGAGTTGAAATGTTTGCACACCCGGCTAGGAGTGTTGCGAATGTAAACTTGCTTGGTTTTGCCTCCATTAGCATCCCTTCAAAGAAAGATATGGCTTGCTCACTCCGACCAAGTCGAGCATAGCTAGTCAATAGAGCATTCCAGGAAATCTCGTCCCTTGATCCGCTCATTTGGTGGAACCATATGTTGGCACTTGGCAAGGCTCCACAACTCCCGTACATATTGAGAAGAGCATTGCCTACGAATATATTGGAATCATAACCACGTCGGTAGATAAAACCATGTAGCTGTTTCCCCATTTCAACATCTGAAAGACCTGAACAGACGTTTACAACAAGCCCGACTGTGACATCATCACCAATGTTGTCAGTTTCTTTCCGCATCAAATAGAGAAAATCAAGTGCCTCGTCCCATTCACCAGCACGCACATATCCACCGAGCATTGCGTTCCATGAGACTACATTCCGGTCGGGCATTTCATCAAAGAGCTGCCTTGCCTCTCGAATTTTGCCACTCATTGCATACCCTGACATCAAACAAGTCCAAGATATCAAATCTTTCGATTGAGTCTGGTCAAATACCCTACGAGCACACTCCAATTTTCCACATTTCGCATACATATCAAACAAAGAGGTAGAAACAATCCCGTCTGCTTCAAAATTGATTTTGATAGCAAGAGTGTGGATCTCTGTTCCGACATCAAGGGCCAAGGATCTCGAACAAGCTACAATTGCATTAGAAACCGTGTGATTCAAAGGTCTGACATTCAATTTTAACATTTCGAAGAAGATTCTCAACGCCTCCTTGGGAGAACCTATCTCGAGATACCGCCGTACAATCACATTCCATGAAACATCACTTGGACTTTTAATCTCATCGAAAACTCTTCTTGCATCACCAATAACTTTGCACTTCCCATAAATATCAACAATTGCAGTTTTCAAAATCACATTCTCGGAAAATCCATTCTTTATAACAGCCCCATGTAGCTGCATCAAGACACCCAGATCCAAAATCAAACCGCATGATCTCAAAACACTTGCAAAAGTATTCTCCTTTCCCCGAATACCTTCTCTATTCATCCTGCGAAACATACGAAACACCTCATCCGAAACTCCATTTTGCGCACAAGCAGTAATCACAGCGTTCCAAGACCCACCATCTCGTTCAGGCATTTGCTCAAACAGTTCTCGGGCATCATCCACGTTCCCACACTTCCCATAAGTCTCTATGGCTCTGTTCAAGAGGAAAACCGGAGGAAACGGAGAGAAAGTCACCAAGTGCGACTCCACCTTACGAGCTTCAACAATAGCGGTTTTTTCAGAACAGAGACGGAAAAGACGCTCGTAGAGCGAGTACTCTACAGGTTCGAGAGAGGCGAAGAGGACCGAGACGGCTTTCGAGAGACGATCGGATTGAAGATGGGCAAGGATTTGGTGGGTCACGGACTGGGCAGGTCTGGGTCGGGTCTCGATCAGGGGCTTGTGGGTTAAGTTGCGTCGAAGAAAGCCATTTTTTTCCCGGTGGGTGTTTCCGAAAGAAACAAAGAACTTAGTGAAGCTCCATATCATCGTGTTCCAGGGGCCAACATTTCTTCAGGGCATTTCGCCAAACACAATCAGGGCGCGGCCATAAACACCATCATTGAGCAAACCCTTCAAACAGACATTCTACGATACGGTGCTCTGGTCGGGAATATCGTCAAACACTTCCAAAGCATGCATCGACCCGGATTTCAGGTTATCCTTCAGACCGAGACTGCCCAGAAAAGTACTGTGGATTAGTCCACCAACAGTGCATGAACGCTTCCTGCCAAAGTCGCACGCTTGAATTGAGAGGTGATGATGTACGTGTTGCCAAAGTGAAGCATGGAACGTCATGAGTCATGACAACATCAATGGGGAAATATGAAAACGCTGTCGTTTATAGGTTTCGATACAGAAGCAGAGCTTGTAAGAGAAAGGCCCATTTCGGCCCCAAATATTTCATAGGCCCATGGGCCTATCATTCTTTTTCCTTCGGAAAATGTATTCCATTTTTTACATTAATTTCGGATGGATGAAGTTTGGAAATTTGGAATAGAGTGCTCTTTTGGTAAACTGATTTGATTTTTGTTGATCCATATAGAAAAACGTATTGAAAGCTAGTAACTAAATAATTAATCTTAAATGTAGCTTTATATATATATATATATGGTTCGACACCGAATCTCATTGAATATTTATCCGGTACATATTATATTTCTTGGATCCTATGATATTTTCAAAGAATTAAACTTCCAGCGGAGATCGAGGGTTTCATCTGTTTTTGCAAATGACTAAAGATAATGATACAGTAATATATTGGCCAAATTTCGTTAAATCACATTTATAAGTCCACGTCAACTAAAGAATTCAATGAAAATGTTACCTATTCGTTTTCACCGTGAGGTATATATGGCCATTTTAGTATGGAAAACGTTTTTTTTTGTTTAACTGTGCTTTTAGTATGGAAAACGTTGCTACCTTTGAACAAGTAATATATATATATATATATATAGTAGCGGATCCAGGAAAAAAGTTTAACGGGGCACAATTAAAATACATATAAAATAAAAAAACTATTAAATATATATCATCTAAAATTATTTACATTTTATAACTAAATGCTACTGTTTTTTATTTTTATTTAAATCTATAAATAATAATATCATTTGTAATTATCTAAAAATATATTTTTTCGATAAAATCTATTCACAATTTTTTTTGATAAAATGTAGTCAATTTCATTAGATTTGAAATGTTAAACTCACGAAATGAGTCAATAGAATTTAAAACTGTCATATCATACAAATGAAAAATTATGAATTTATCTCTTCAAATCGATTATTAGATTCTAGAAACTGTAAATCGATTATTGATATTTTTCACTGTCACATAGGATCTCCGTTTGTTTACGTGACGATTATTTGACGATAAGAGTTTTTTGCCAATAATTTCCGTTTGCCTACGTGAAGATTATTAGATGGTAAGAGTTTTCTATCAAGTCAAATGCAAAATTAAATAAATATATAGAATAATAAATTAATGAATATGATCAAATTATAGAAAAGATATTAATAAAAATAATAATTTCTTAAAATTAAAATTACAATATTTATAATTTTAATCCTATTAATTGTAGATTTTGTATATTTTTTTTGATATTTTTTAGAGAATTATATATGTATATATGAAAAAGATAAAAATATATAAAAAAAATTATATATTAAATAACTTAACCCTATATTTTAGGTAAGAAAGAGTAAATTAAAAAGAATAGTGGGACTACTTGAGATAAGTAAAGAAAAAAAACTGGTGGGGGCAAATAAATTTTTTAAATGGGGGCATTTATAAATATTACTTAATTATTTTATAATTTTATGAAGGAAATAACCAAAATTTAAGTAACGAATGGGGGGTATGGACCCCACTCATTAACACATAGATCTGACCATGTATATATATATATATATGAACGATCAATTAGTTGTTTTAAAACGTAATTAATCCTGTGGACGATGCGGTGTCATAATCGAACTCGGTCCATGTGACTCAGCGTCTGTGGTTGGAGAAGACATTGCAATTAATTTTTGTTTTTTGACCGTTGACGAAAAAGTCTTGAGGCAATCATGGAAAGCGATGCTAGGGCATCCAGACTATACATACATGTGTGTGTATATATACTCACATCTGCGTCATGTGTGCATGTATCTATCTATACGTACATGTGTTATATTTTATTTAATTTTTTTCCCATCTTCGATTAATATAAATTACATTTTTTTTGCACATACCAATTAACAAAACGAAATTAAAATTTTAAATAAAGATCTCTATTTCGGTTTCTAGATTTCGTTTCAATTTCTTTCTTAAAATGAAGCATACTTTTTTTTTTAATCGAATTCTTTCCATTATTCCGAAAAATATCTGACAGTCATGTGTTTCACATTTCTAACGTTTTTTTTTAATAATCCGAAAGTTCACCGGACCTTTGGCCCGACTACATCTCCCAGAGAACCGAAGAAGCTCATTTGAATGTCCCTCCCCACATTTGGGTTTGAAACTAGGATGAGAGCATGATTTGCATATTCTCTCACCACTAGATCACCCAAGCATAGGTCGTTTGTAACGTTTTTATAATTTGACTTGACAATTCTAACCCCGCAAATACTTTAGCACGTTTCATCATAAACATTCCACGTAATCTCCATACACAACCCATCAAACCCCTTAGGGCTCTCGTTATATATGTTTCCCCGTGACATTTTCTCGGGGACCAAAACAACTTCAAAGAGAATCAAGAATGGAGAAGAAGGGTACTCTCTCGAGAAGTCTAAGAAAAGCGAGAGACACCGTAGGGGAAATAATATTCACGAGCGGATCAAGACGGTACTCGAGGAGAAGCCACTCGGCCGATGAAGACGAAGAAGCTCTTATATGGGCTGCGATAGAGAAACTCCCGACGTACGATCGTCTTCGGACAACGGTCATGCAATCCTTCGTGGAAGACGAGAAGCATTTGAATTCGAATCCTAACAAAATTGTCGACGTTACTAAGCTCGGCGTCGACGTTCGTCAGAAGTTCATCGATTCCATCTTCAAAGTTGCCGAAGAAGACAATGAGAGGTTCTTGGAGAAGTTCCGAAAACGGATCGATCAGTAAGTTTTCGAAGAAGATTAAGATGGTATTTCGTAATATTTACATTTTTTTTTTGTAGAAGAATATTAACATTATCCACGAGAACTCGAAAAAAACATAGCCCGTATCGATTGGAATATTTTAATGTAAGAAATATCATCAAATCCAAATATTATGAAATACTATCATAATTTTCTCAAATAAACATGCTTCTCCCTTGTTGTGAGATGATAGGTTTCTCCATCAAAGTATTAGGTTACAGTGCACGAATCTTAACATGGAATACTGCGACTATGCATGGTATAACTCAACCTTGGGTACGGAGATTAGTGTCGGTCCAAATGCCTAGATACATTTATAACCACAAAAAGGGAAGTAAAACCAACACTCTTGAAATCTAATTATAAACTTGCGAGTAATTCAGATCTTTTACATCTGTTGTGACTAAGGACTTTGTGACAGCTTGAACTAGTACTTTTACAGCGTGTACACCAATCTTTTTAACAATCAATATCCTTAATCTCTCTTATATTTTATTAAAAAAACGAGTCTTTAACAGGGTGGGAATCAAGCTACCGACAGTGGAAGTGAGATTCGAGAACCTAACCATAGAAGCAAACTGTCAAGTTGGAAGCAGAGCACTTCCGACACTCCCAAACGTTGCCCTAAACATCGCGGAATCGGCGATTGGCGCCTTTGGCATTAACTTAGCCAAAACCACAAAGCTCACCATCCTCAAAGACGTCTCCGGTATCATTAGACCTTCTAGGTACATTACTTAATTCTTTAATCATATAATCCAATTGGTTAGTTGACAATTTGTGGCTTAATCTCACTACTAATTTTGTAATTTTTGGGGGTATTTTGGTTATATTTTTGGTGTAGGATGACACTTTTGTTAGGTCCACCATCGTCAGGGAAAACAACTCTTCTGTTGGCCCTAGCAGGCAAATTGGACCCGCGCTTAAAGGTTACAAAAAAAAAAAGATGGAGAAATTTAAAATTTTGAAAATAAAATGAAATATGATCACTAATTACATGATCAAGAAACATGCAAAAGCAGGTGACAGGGAAAATAACATACAACGGACATGGACTCGAGGAGTTTGTACCGCAGAAGACGTCAGCATACATAAGCCAAAACGATGTTCACGTTGGGGTGATGACAATCAAAGAAACTCTTGATTTCTCCGCTAGGTGCCAAGGGGTCGGCACCCGATACGGTAGTCAACGTTAATATTATCCTAAAGAAATTTCTGAACCGGTTTACAAATTGAATTTCCGGTTACTTTTTTTTTTTTTTTTTTTTTTGGTGAAATAAAAAGTTTATTGTTTCTATTTTTCTGGGCACCAGTAAGAAAAAAGCAGTGTTATTGATTCAGCTTTTGAAATAGAGCTGTTAATGCCAAGTTCCATAGTTTCGGGAACAAGTAAACAGGCTATGGTGAATGGATTCGGTAGGGGTGTCTTGCAGATACTAATACATGTATGTGGAACACTGAATAAAGCTTCAAACTTACTCGGCTTTTGCCCACAAAAATTAAAAAAAAAAACTGCTCTTTGAAAAATTTTAAGTTACATGTTGTGGGCAATTGGGGAAAATGAAAAATGAAACAGCAAGCGATGTAGTTTTCAACAATCAAATGGTGATGAGGCTTAGCTGTCGGAGTTCCTCCTCATCTTCTTTTTCTTTTTGTCTTCGGCACGGTACCTTTCCCGCCTTTCCTCCCTCTGCCGTTTCTTGGATATCTGCTCCATCTTCGCTTTCTCCTCTTCATGTTCCTTCCTTTTCTTCTTCTCCTTTTCTTTTCTCTTTTGAATCTGTGCATTCCCCATACGCAAAACAATGCCCGAAAAGTAAGACGCAGTCGAGGCACCAAGTGCTCAAAAACCGAATTTCAAAGGAAGGCGTGATGGATGGATCACATTACCTTGTCATGTCTAATCAGTTGAAGATGCTGAAGGAGAGCATGAGCTTTCCGTTCACCGGGTTCCATAACAACAGCCCTCTTCTTCTCCAGAGAAGGTTTACTTTTCCTCGGTATTTGTTTTGGTTTCGATGAAAAGGGTAGAGCTGCTTGTAGACTCTTGGGAATCACCAGTGGATTGAACTTCCTCTGCTTCCTTTCAATTGGCTACATATATATATATATATATATATATTTTTAAAAGTAGGAGATAGATTAATGGAGTGCACAATTTACAAAAAGTACGGGCAAACGGGAGAAGAAAAATAGGATAAAAACACTTGCCTTGTAGAGTGAGTCCTTATTCACTGGGATAGAAACATTATGCTCTATCCGGAGTTCGCCCAGGGTTTTCATCCCTTGCCAGGGCTTTTCACGGGGTTGTAAGGCTGTAGTCAGCGGATTGTAAAATTGCGGAACCTCCACTTTAGTCCAAGCCCTTAGGAATACTATATCACTCATCAGAATTTGATCTTCAAAAGTACATCTGGCAACCCCCTCTTCAGACTTGTTACCAAGCATATTCTTTGCAGCCTGACGCAGTACAAGTTTCAGAGATCAGGCATAAAAAAACACGAGGGAGAAAGAGAGCCTTGAATCAGACTGTAAAGAGGGATAATCATACCTTTTTCACCTGCCCCCTAATACCACTAACTGTTCTAACCGATGAACCTTCAAAACGGGCTACTTCAAGATCAGAAGTAAACATGTCTTTGATAAAGGCCGTTTTCTTTTTTATCTTGTAGGGGTAACCCACCAGCTTGAGTTTCTTTACAATCCGTGCCTGGTGGTTGAATTCAAGGACTACAGCAGTCGCTGTTATTCTAAACCCGGCCTGAACCACACACCATGCAAGACCAGTTCAATGGAAGGGGAAGACAACAGAATTAACAATTACAAAGACCAAGGAAATATGGCCCTTTCACGATGATTTTTCAAATATTATATGGACAAAAAGATGTACTTGGATGATATATGAGCAGTCTAAGATAGTACTGAACAGGAGAATATCGAAGCATCTTTTCCTATTCGAAAACACTGATATACAGGAGGAAAGCTATCTGCTACATATAAGTCACCAATTTAGGAGGAAACTTCCAATTTGCTGACAACTCGACAAGCAATACAAGTTTCAAACTATGCCAAATGTAGTCCTATCAATTACTGATTAATAGAGCCTTATTCTCACCTATTCCATTCAACTCAGCAAGATGAACTTCACTTTACGACAAAAAAAGAAACATAACATGAGACATGTATATATCATAGAAAAGAAACCATCTTCCTATAAAAACAATCGGAGCAAATCTCAAGAAGCAAAACAATAATCTATACCTGGTTGTTTGACAAGTTCTGCAAGGCAACAAAGCCAGTGTTGGGTGGAACAAGAGGACCCCAGAACATAGCAAGGCAATGCATGTGTTCTGGAGTATACTTGAGCATCCGATGCCTTCCATTGAGATCTTCAATTGCATATACAGGAAGAGTCTGGTAGCGCCTCCACCCAATAGACACAATAATAGGATCTCTTGCCTTCAGTACTTTCTTGTGCCATCTATGTCTCTTCAGGCGGGCCTGAGGACAAGACAACATATCACAGTATAAGAGGGAACATTCAAATAAGCAACAATGTTTAATTAACTTTAAATAAGAGAAACAACATTCATGTTACAAAATGAAACAAAAAAAAAGAGAGAGAGAACATTGGCTGTGGTCTCTCACCTGCATGTATCCAACGTTATCCTCGCCGAAACCTATTCCTCCAACCAAAATTGGATGACATGGATCAAAGAACTCAACCATCTCATAAGGAACATTATGAATCTCCAGCCGTAAGTATGTCCCAGTCTGGAAACCTTCTATCTCGATTCGAGTATCCTCATCAAGATCATTCAGTTCTGCCATATTCATTTGTTTCCTAACTTCTAGTTCCTCCTTTAACTGGAAATCACAAAATGTGAGAAACCAAAAGAGAACAGAATCCTTAGGTGCAGACAGCAAAATTTACCTTGTCAACATATCCTGGATCCTTGGCTTGACCATCACGAGGTTTGTCCCCATCACCTTCATCTTCGTCATCCTCCACTAGTTCAGATCTATTGTACGTGCAACGGAGTTAAGGTTGAAACAGAAAATAACTTGTAAACCCAGAAAACAAAATGGACAACATGCAGAGGAATATACAAACAATAAACATGTCTAGATTATCTAAATATCAATACTATGCCATCAGATAGATGACCCCCCGTTTTTTGTGTGAATTGTTTCTTGGAAGACTAAACACAACACTCTAGATGCACTGCCACAGACGGATGCACCGATAAAATATGTCATGCTTTATGCTTAGATTATATAGATGATGCTAGTCAGGTAAAAAAGGATATTCCGCATCGAATTTTGCACGGAGAGCCAGCTTTTTTAACCTCCGCTCCACTGCCGCAGCATCTTCCTTTTGATTTGCATCAGATTCAACATTCTCAAGGCTGTTATGCTTCTCTCCAGTCTCTATATCCTCAAAATCACCATATACTTCGTCATCATCATCATCATCTTCCTCATTGCCAGTACGCGAATTTTGATTTCTGAGAGCAGCTTTTGACCAATCACCAGTGGTAAATCGGTCACGAATGCACTCACAGGCATCTTTCTCTTTCCAATTCTTAAGTTTTCCATAGTTCATAAATTTTGAACAATCCTCAGAATTGACATATCCTTCACTCCACCCATCTCCTAATTTCTGGTAATAAGTGAAGCAAAAAAGAAGAAAAGCAAATAATAAGTTTGAGAGAAACCTTTTAAGAAACAAGAAAAGATCACAGAATTTATATGATCTTAAGAAGAAAGACCTTGCTCTGTTGTCCTTTCGGCTTAAAGAAGTCTTCCTCATCACTTTCTTCATCACCACTATATTCCTGAGTTTCACTGACCGGGGCAGCAGTTGATCCCGGATATCCATACACAAGTTGCATCAAATTGATGTTCTTCCTTGAGGCAGCTCTCTCCACCAAAGATTCTTTCCACTTTGATATGTTCCCTAGGTCCTTATCTGATAAATTGAGGGATGGCCAAAGTTTAGGAACAAAAATGCACAAGGTTTAGCCTTACAAATTCAAACAATTGAGGATAAAGTTTTTCATGAGACAATTTTAAAAACATGCATAAACATCAGGAAACCGGCCAGAACAAAACCAACGTCAAACAAGAGACTTTAGATAATATATACCCTCTGTCTGTTGATCCTCTGCATCTTCTTCTGAAGCATCTGAATCAGAGCTAACAGTAGCATCTAAGTCGTCTCCATCATCTTCAGGTTCACTTTCATCATATTCATCATTTGCAGGTTCCTCCTCGTCATCTTCATCTGCTACATCTGAGTCCTGGGTCACACACCACCAGAGATGAGAAACGGAAAAAGTAATGAAGCATGGACAAAGTATTTTCGTACTCAAAAAATAATCCCTCCACCCTAAAACAGACATGGCTTTCCAATATTTTCACATGCTTCAACAATTCCACGACAATTGCTGTCGAGTCAAACTACTGTTACTATTTCTTCTCCTGAGATCTTATGAATGAAAATTATAAAAGAAAACCAAAGGAAGGTAGAGATAAAAACAGGTTCACACTCATGAACTGTTGAAATTTGAAGTCGCCAGTATTATCAAATCAATACTTTATTAATGAACAACAAGTATCTAAAAATGAAAGTGAAAAATTAGACAAATCATAAAAAACAGGATATTACCATTCTATCACTCTCATCAATATCGTCCCTGAAGATAGCTTTCCTCCTTAGCCTTCCATCATGCATCTCAGCCTTTTGCTTCAGTTTACCATCACTGCCCTCCACATCCATTCCACCATCTTCAACATCATCACCAGATTGAGATTCCTCAGATGATTCAGCATCCGAGCCATTAGCCGTAGACTGATGAGCATCTTCAGTCTCAAGCCCTGCGTCCTGATTGCCACCCGGCTTTTTGCTGAAAATGCTAATGAACGTCTTCTCTAGTTTTTCATCAACAGAGTATTTTGTATTCTGCAATGACTTTACCAAAACTTCACCAACATCTTTGTCCTTTCCTAGTGAGATAGAAACCCCACAACTACAGTTAGAACTACAAGAAATAAGAACAAAATCGACCCTTTTGTATACAAAAGAATGATGTATCAAGGAGAATGATATACTGAAAATGAATATGAAATGAGCTTACAGAGATATACTGGTGAATCACCAGTGGTGATGCACTACAAAAGCAAATTAAGATGGAATAAGACATCCAGAGAACAAGGCCTATCGTAAAACAAACCTTTGGTAGTAGGCTCCCCCTTTCCATCATCAGCTTTAGAGAACTGAACAAGATGATCATTTATGTTGATGTAAACAGCATCTTTGTCATATAAAAGGTCTCCGATTCCAGACATCGGAGCATAGAAAAGCTTCTCCTTGTCCCTGAGTCCTTTCTTCTTGGCAGCTGAGGGTAAAGGACAAGGATCAGCTAAGGTAGTCACACCAGCTAAACCATAGTCACCAACACCGGCAATATGGACCTAATCATCAAGACACAGGTTGCATCAGCAGTATAATAAACTGCAACAAGTAGCTTAAGATTCGCCACACAAGAATTGTCACTCAGATTAGAAGCTGAGGGAAATCAGCATGTAGCAGCAGACATCCAAGTTAATACTCCTCACATAACTGCAATCAATAGGGAGCAGAAACCAACAACATGCAACAAAACCACTATCTCCATTTTTCCTCACAATAACCAATTCTAAGCGCTCTAACATGTACCTTTCAAAGCATGCTACACAGTCATAACAGTTAGACTCAAAATTGAGAGGAAAATCATATGAGCAATAAGATTTAATCTTCTTAACATCAAATAAACTCATCAGTCTCCCAAATTTAGGAAGCCATTGTGTTGGGAGCGATAGAACAATTTGTGCGCAGCAAGTACTACTAAAGAAACTCATGACCTAGGTACTCAATCAATGGAATATTATTTAGATAGTAAAAGGGCACCTTTCCTATGTATACACTTTAGTCATAAAGCTCTGATGAGCCAATTAACAAGAACCTAGCGATGGAACATCATGTGAAAACGTACCTTCATTCCCTTTTTCAAGTTACAACCACGCAGATAACCATACAATGTAATGTTTCTATCACACTTCTTATCCATATGAACTTTTTCGGGAGGGGTAACATCTTCAAAACGATCAGCCAACACATAAGGATGTGAAGTTCGCCAGGACAATGGATGAAACTTCATAACGGATATAAAACGAGAAAGGTTGTGAATTTCACGCTTCGCGTACCTGCCAAATAAAAAAGTGACCAAAACTAAACCTCAAAAGTTCCCCTATGGATGCCATTTTATGCGGGGAAGCAAAGATGAAAATACTTACTTCCCATGAATGAGACCAGATAAATAAAACAATTTGGCTCCATCATATATTTCGGTCCAGAACCGATGCTTGAGTCGTTGCTTTGTTTTCTTCAACTTCTTCACATCTTTAAACTTGTCGAGGTGAGTGAGGACTCCCATAACTTTAGGAAATCCATGAACTTGCAAAATATTGAGGAACTCAAAGGTTTCCTGAAAGTCATACATATTGCAAGAAAAAAATGGATAATTATCATATAATTCATATGATCATATCACTAAGTGATTTAACTAGAACATCAAACTGGTCCAATAGTCATTTGGTATCCGAAAGAGTCTCATGACAGCACCTGAAAAAGGTGACATGATGGGAGTACAACCAGATACCAAATCGTAAAAGCAGTGCGGAGTAACAACAAACTAGATAAAGTTACGCATTTCTGAATGGGGCAGCTGTAGCAAAAAAATCACGAATGGTGTCTCACCATTTCAAAACCGTAACTTCCATCTATGAGAAGCAAAGCTAGATCAGCAAACTTCGCACAATCCACCATCCCATTGATATCATTTGGGCATTCCACAAATTGTATCCGCCTTTGCTTACCTAAGTTCATGACCAGTTTAACATGAGACCGGAGACTAAAAATTCATGCTCATTCATGCCAAACCATAAAAAGAAAAACAAGGAATACTACACAGTACCTGATACAATGGTGATAGGTCCTCGAACCTCTGGTAAATTTTGCTTGGTAAAGTGCTTGACAAGGGATTTTATCACAAGAGACTTGCCAACCTACAGCGACAGAACAAAGTCATGACTCATTACTCCATAAGAAATTTCTGCGCAAAATCAAATCTTGTAGTGAACAGATCAGCAGTCGGAATATAGTACCTTTGGAGGTCCTTGAACGACAACAACGTAAGGAGGCGGTTCTCCGTAAGTACGATCAATAGTCGGAAGATGAAGTCTCCGTTGCTCCTTCTCCACAGTGCGGGCTTGCAAACGCTTCGCCTTCACAGCGGAGTTAAAAGCAAACGCCTGTCAAACACCACAAAAAACGACCAATCCGTAAACTTCATATTAGTACAAACAAAGATATCTCAGAAGACATACGAACAGAGGAGGTGACCGCACCTTAGCGTTTTGTTGTTTGTTATTGCCGGACGCAGCTTTCTTCTTCTTAGAAGGCCCCGATTGACGAGCCCTGTGCGCCCTGTGAGACGGCATAAGCTCATCGGCGGCCATGGCGATTCGCCGGCGTGAGAGAGGAATAAGGGTTACGAAGAAGAAGAAAGAACTCCCAGAGCAAAAACCCCTTCTGAACCTTCCTTAATAATTAGGTCGGCGCTTAAATAACCCGAACCTGACTCCAATTGGCCAATTTCATGTATCGGTCAGAAAACCGGATTCCGGTTCAATTTCTTGAATCCGGTTTACGCTAAATGGCCAATCTGATAAAACAAATTATTATTACGATTAATTTATGTTTTTTTTTTCTAATAAATCAGAAATTTACGCTTTGAATCCATTGTTTTAGTGTGTTCTTAATCAGTCTCTCCGTATACATTAACGAAAATTGTATGAAAATTTCTGATCTTTCGAGTAAAAAAAATCTCGGATTCACTTTTGAGGCTGTGTTGTGTTGATCGAGAATATCAGAGATGAACATGGAGCGCAGAGAAGATGAGCACCAGAAGCGCGACGATTCTAGATTCAATCAGACCCTCAAAAACGTCCAGGGGTAAATTATCTTCATCGATTTCTTGTTTCTTTCATGGAGACCTTGTCCTCTGGATCTTGCTTTTGATTCCGGTTCGTCCTGTTCGCACTGCGGACATGGCTTACAGATCTGTTACTATGGATCTTAGATTAGATGTCGGAGGGATGATCTCAAATCTTCCAGAAAGCGAATGATGGTGTTCCCAGTTGTGTTTCAGACATGTTGTGTTGATTGTCTGTGGTTTTTTGGGTCTGTTTTCTGTGTTTTAAGGTTTCTTAAAGGGAGAAGTATTCCTGGTAAAGTGCTATTGACCAGAAGACCGGATCCTCCTCAAGGCCCCATCTCTCCGACTTTTCACCGGAGCCTGTCGGAGAACGATGCCGGAAGAAACGAACACTTGGCTAATTCTGTTGAGGTATTCTTGTCGGAATTTAGGACTTCTGTTCCTTTTTTATCCAGCTGTGTTTTGAAGAGCTAAATCAAACAATGGCGTGCTTATTCAGGCACAAGACCAGAGTTCAAGCAAAAGAAACGACAATACAAATGCTAGTAAGATAAGATCTTCAAATTCCAATGTTGAAAGTGTTACGAAAGAAGTTCAGAACCTGAAGATAGGTGTTAGAGCTACCGACTCTGCAAGAATTACAAAGTTCAACAAAGTTCTCTCAGCAACATCTGTCATATTAGGTACTATTTATCTCGATCCCTTCTTGACACTCACAAGGCAAATAATGAATTGGTAAAGACATGGTTTCGCGTTCTTGACAGTTCATGCAGCTTGATAAACGATTCCTTGCTTTATCGGTTGAGATGACCCTTTTTCAATTTCATCCTTCAAACTGCAGAGAAGTTGCGGGAGCTAGCATGGAATGGTGTACCCCACTATATGCGCCCTGATGTCTGGCGGCTTCTCTTGGTATGCTCGCGAAGAATTTTTGATTGAGCAAATTAGCATAATCAATATTAAACTTGTCATCACTGTCATTTATCTTCTGTTTTTATCTATTGAGCAAAAAATCTTGTCCTTTTGTGATGATTTCCTTGTTTCTCCTTCAGCATATGATAGCTGATATAAGTCCAAAGATTCCTGATAATGTTTATGAACAAAAAAAAACTATTTCAATTTCTATATCTATCGCTATAGTATGTTCCATAATAGTTTACGTGGTTTATCTGATAGACTTGATGGAATACACTAGCATGATTTAGATAATTCACTGAATCTGATGTCTCCTTTAATATAATATGCCCCAAAAATTTTCTACTTTTCTTTTCTTTTTTCTGCTTGAATTTAAACATAACTGAACAGGGATATGCACCACCTAATTCAGATAGAAGGGAGGCCGTTCTAAGGAGAAAACGTCTTGAATATCTCGAATGTGTTGCACAGTTTTATGACATCCCCGATTCTGAACGTTCAAATGATGAGATCAATATGCTTCGCCAGGTTCTTTCTCATAATCTCTGTGCGTTTGAAACACAATCTTTAGAAGTTTTTAAACTCTCTTAATGATTGTTGTTCTTTCTCCCAGATTGCTGTTGATTGTCCAAGGACCGTGCCGGATGTTTGTTTCTTTCAGCAAGACAAGGTGCAAAAGTCGTTGGAGCGTATTCTTTATACATGGTGGATCACAGAACTTCTTCTCTGATTATAGTTTCTTACCTATTAAATTCAATGATCCAGTTGAAATTAAGTCAAAGTCGCTAAATCAAATGAAATTGTTTTTCTGGATTTGCAGGGCCATTAGACATCCTGCTAGTGGATATGTTCAGGGAATAAATGATCTCGTCACTCCCTTTCTAGTTATATTCTTGTCAGAATATCTAGAAGGCAGTGTAGACAGCTGGTCAATGTCTGATCTATCTACAGATAAAATCTCGGATGTTGAAGCTGACTGCTACTGGTGCTTATCAAAGCTGCTCGATGGCATGCAAGATCATTACACATTTGCCCAGCCAGGAATTCAGAGACTTGTATTTAAGCTGAAGGAATTGGTCAGGCGTATCGATGGTAGGTTTCCCATCTATGGCCTGCATCTCTCCTCCGTGCAAAGCCCTTTATAAGGGTATTGGGTTCTTTTCTTTCTTGTTACCATAATGTGGTTAAGTATGCATTTCTTATCGATATGAGAGTTCATTTTTCTAGCAATTGCTCTCTTTTAGTTAAGCCTGGGTGAGCATGATTTTAGTTTAACTTCTCTGATGTATTAACAGCTCATGATAAAACTTAGGAAATGTTAGTTGGCTGGTTGTGACATTATACTGCCTTTTGCTGACTTTGCTAGGATATCTATATCTATTCACTGTTTCTATCTGGCTTTCAATTTTGCCTGAAGATTATTGCTTAACAATGGAAGATTGATTTTGCCTCATTGTTTTGGCACTCCTTGTGTGATAGAACCTGTTTCAAGACACATTGAAGAGCAAGGGCTAGAATTTCTTCAATTTGCTTTCCGTTGGTTCAACTGTCTTTTGATACGTGAGGTTAGATATCATTTAACTCTTACCGGTATGCCACAGTTCTTAATTCACCAATGGTCCTTTCCAACTTGTTAATGGAGAGTCCCAAACGTAGTGTTATTTCATTTTCCTTGCGAGTTTTTATGTAAGGTACTAACACTCTTTGAGTTTTATAGATTCCTTTCCATCTCATTGCACGCCTCTGGGACACCTATCTTGCTGAAGGAGATGCATTACCGGACTTCCTAGTGTATATATACGCTAGTTTTCTTTTGACGGTAAGAAACAGAACACTCGAATTATTTAAGTAGCTTGAATTCAGTTCCTTCCAAACTCTGTTCTTCTTGTGGCATTTGACGAAATCTGACCATTACCATTATACATGATTGCATGAGATTTGTGTGAGTGGGTGCTGAATGTCTTCTTAACTGAAAAAGACTGCGTGTTACAAAACTGGCAGTGGTCAGATGAACTGAAGAAGCTGGACTTTCAAGAGATGGTGATGTTCCTACAACACCTTCCGACGCAAAACTGGATGGATCAAGAGCTCGAGATGGTCCTATCCCGAGCTTACATGTGGCACAGTATGTTCAACAATTCCCCGAGCCACTTGGCCAGCTGAACGAGTTCTTCCCCTTTCCTTTTCTCCTCCTTCCTACTGCGAAAGTCGGATCTTCATTGTACGGTAACGTTTAACGTTGTTATGTCTTTGCTGTAAGCTCCATCTTGTCTCTGGCTAACGAACGAGATAGTCGTGTTGGTATATGTTATGTGTTTGTGTTTGCGTATGTGGTTGTGGTTGTCATTTTAGCAGTTCGACCATAAGGATTATTAGAAGAAAGAGAGCGTCTTTCCGTTTGAAGTTATGGCTTAACTTTTTGGTTGGATTCTTGTTCATTGCATTGTCTCTTTGGCAAGTGTACTAACTTGTTCAGTTCTTGTTTGTGTTTTGTCATATTTCAGCATTAATTATAAAATTAACTACGTATAAATTAATTGATCTCTTTTTTTTCCTGGACTAATGATTGATTTCTAATTGTATTTTCAAATTTTTTATAAAAAAAATTAATGGTTTACATATAATATTTTAATATCTTTTTATAAAAAAAAAGTATTTTAATGTTTGTGACATTATTGATTGGTACATAAAGTTTGCTTTTCTTAAAATGTATTTCATAATAAGAGCTGAAGAATGAAAAATAAAAAAAGGAACCAACGTATTAACTTTTTTTGGAATGATAACATTTTTCAGAATTATTATACGAAATGCTGACTTGGCAATATTATTCGTAACTGTTTACGTGAGCCTCGTAGGAGAAAAGCCCAATGGGCTTATGGGCTCTCGTCATCAATAACGTTTGTCCGTTGTCCGTAAATACATTATGGACACAAAAAATATATAGCAAAACAAAAAAAGAATAGACAAAGCAAAAAATATCTTTGCGGAATATATATCTATATATTTTGATAATATTCAGTTAAAATGGAAAATATATAGTTTAATTTCTGGCCTATATTTGGGTGATATATGTCTCATTAGGATCTTAGTAATGACAATTGACAAGTTATGGACTGAAAATATGGGAATACCATTCCGGGTTGCCGGAGAACAGAGTTGCCGGAGCTTCTGAACGAGACGGCAGATTATATCGCGGCTCTGGAGATGCAAGTCCGAGCGATGACGGCTTTGGCGGAGATTCTCGCCGATTCTCAGCCGTTCGATCGGCTCGGCTCGGTTTGACTCAGCCGATGATTTTCAATGTTTGTTCATTTTTTTTTTGTTGATTTCTTTTTTCCGTTGTTTTTTTTTCTTCTGAATTTTATTACGATTTGGACCTAAAATAAAATTTATT